ACAGGAAAGCTGACGTTTCCAGCCTAGACTGGGCCTAGACCCTTCTTCTAGGCCCGAAACGTCAGCTTTCCTGCTCCTCTGATGCTGCTTGGCCTGCTGTGTTCATCCAGCTCTGCACCTTGTTATATCAAAGACAGGTGTGTGATGAGGTTGGGGTCACAGATGGATTGGGGCAGGCCACAGCAGATACGATAGTGGGGATGGTCTTAGTGTTTGGGTGGCTCAGTGGTTAGCACTAATGCCTCACAACACCAGGGACCCGGGTTCAATTCCAGCCTCAGGTGACTGTCTGTGTGGAGTTTGCACATTCTCCCCATGTCTGCGTGGGTTTCCTCCCACAGTCCAAAGACGTGCAGGTTAGGTGGATTGGCTGTGCTAAATTGCCCATAGCTTAGTTGGGTTATAGGGGGATGGGTCTGGGTGGGATGCTCCAAGTGTCGCAGTGGATTTGTTGGGCCGAAGGGCCTGTTTCCACACTGTGGGATTCTATGATCTATGATATGGCAGTAGTAGGGTAACAGGGATGAGAGTCAGAGCAAGTTTTGTATCTGTGGAGAGAATGAAAAAGTATGTGTGTTGTGGTATCGGGTACCCGTCAGGGTGCAGGAAGGGAGTTGAGCAAGGTGTATCAAAGGGGAGGTCAGTGGTGAGGAGATGGTGGTGGGGAAGGTTTCAATGTAATATTTACACAAAATTGCAGGTTAGACAATAACAACATTATAAGATTGCAGAAGCTTTTAATTACTCTTAACATTATTTGGATGACTACTGAGCTAAGTGACTCTAAGTCTGAAACTCTAACTCAGGGTTGGAGACTTTGTTGGAGACTCCCAGATGGCAAGCACTTGGAAGTTTCAATTTCCAGGGGAATTCCCAGTGAGCAAGCAGTTTTGATACTTCCACATCCACACGAACCTTAAGCGCAACTCCTGGCTAGGCCACTGCAAAAACTAAGGCTAGATGCCTATGCAGTTGAGATGCACAGATTTGTTTTTTTAATCATCATGTTTTGCAAGCAAAGTTATGGTGAACTACAACTTATTTTGCAAAATGATGTCCCCGTCTTTTAAAGTAAATAAATTTGGTACCGGAGTCTATTTAAACAATTAAATTAATATTTATGCAATGTGCTTTTGCAATTTATGCCTAAAATGCTGTTTCAAGTCTATAAAAATCCAAGTGTAACACATATTTTGACAGTTTGGCATTTTGTGTGCCAATCAATCTGTTGTTTAGTTCAATCCATTGAGAAAAGGATGACATCATTTGAAGAATTCCGATTTGGATCTTTAGTGATGAAAGACATCTTGTCAACTGATTCCTAAAAATTCACCGCAATCATTTATTACCGTCTTATATTCCATCAGCTCCATTTGAAGCCGAGCAATCTCAGCTCGTAAGGCACTGATCTGCTGGCTGGTCTTGTCTTGATTGACCACAACTTTGTTCTTGATGTTACGAGCTCGGTTTGCATATTTGAGAGTGTTCAGAGTTTCCATGAAGTCGCGATCTGAGGGGCTTATGCAAGCAATCATGACAGTTCGACTGTAAGAAATACAATAATTTTCAATCCCTAGTGCAAGTATATCGTGGTCTTTAAATTCATCTCCCTATTTATTTCAGAACCCCCTTCCCCTCCCCCTTTTCTGATGAAGGGTCTAGGCCCGAAACGTCAGCCTCTCTGCTCCTATGATGCTGCTTGGCCTGCTGTGTTCATCCAGCCCTGCACCTTGTTGTCTCTGAGTAGAAAAGGACAACTTCTTTACAATTATCGCTATTAATGTGATACCAAAACAAAATTTATTAACCAGAAAAATCTGAAGTTGTCAATTTAAAAGTAGAGTTCAATCGATATCTATGCCCAATTAGACTTGAGGCTATTCATCAAGAATAAATAAAGACACAATTAGACACAAACATTCAAATTAGAGGCAGAGATAGCCATTCAGCCTCTCAATTCTGCTCTGCCTTTCAATAAGATTATGGCTGATCTCATTAAGCCTTAACTTCACTTTCCTGCCTACCCTTGATACCTTTTGACATCCTTGTTAGTCAAGAATCTATCTCTGCCTTAAAAATATTAAAATTAACCTGCATCCAAAATACTTTGCGAAGAGTTTCCACATAGTCAGCTGTTAAGATAAACATTTTCTCATCATTGTCTTCAACAATCTCTTTCTTAGCAACTTAGTTCTTCACAATTTCAAACACTAAGTGTTACCATAAATTTGCCTCTAATGTATATGGTTGATAGTCTAACAATATTCAGATGACAGAAATGTAATTCTCCCAATTTGCATGTTGCTTAGAAGACAGTTTTTAAGATACTTTATCGACTTTTAATTTGAAAACCTGCATTTTGAAACTGCTTTCAATCTACCAATACAAAGTAGATTTTCTTTTTCTGGAAATTTTATCTCACTGATGATTAAAAATAAAGACAGATCTTTGCTTCCTCTATAGGTGTTTTATTCTTTGTACCTGTTTCCTCCCAGAGAGTCTTGCAGAAGCCTGGTGAGTTTGGAATCTCTGTATGGCACATGATGGCTCTTCTTACTTTGGTCTCCCAATGCACTGATGACATTCCCCAGTGACAGCTTTGGTCAAAGTTCAGAAGGAAAGAGAGGAGAAAAGTTAATTGCAAAGACAATTTTTTTTTACCCTCATTGTTAATTTAAAACTACGATTTTAATCAATGCTACACATTATTTGGGGGTTTCTTCAACTAAGATTTGAAAAGGTTTCAGAAGAAGGGTCACTAGACCTGAAACGTTAACTCTGATTTCTCTCCACAGATGCTGCCAGACCTGCTGAGATTTTACAGCAATTTTTGCTTTTGTTTCAGATTTCCAAATCTGCAGTTCTTTCAGTTTTTGAAAAGGTTTGTTGGCTTTGCTGTAAAGACAGTGGACCCATTTTGTCCTTTCACACTTACTTACACCCCTACTGCTCTATTTTACCACCATACCCTTTGCCTTTTGTTCTGAGAACTCTCTCAATCTGTTCCACTCACGCCTACTACCCCTCTATCAACAGCATTAAATCGCCATTTTCCAGCCTTTTCAGTTCTAATGAAGAGACACTTTGGACTCAAAACACTAACACCATTTCTCTCTGCACAGATGCTTCCAAATCTGCTGAGTTTCTCCAAAATTTTCTGTTTACCTTTCAGATTTATTAGATTTATTTCAGGACCTGTTAACAATAAAATGCATTTCTACAAACTTCATTCTAAATAGAGGAGAATATTGTCTGTCATTTTAAACAGAAATGCAACATAATATAACTGTACAGCATTTATAATCAAATAACACAAAGTAACAATTGGAAAGGGGCTGTGTTAACACAATGGACCACTGGGTGGTACTATTCACAGCTACTGAACATTACATTGTTAAACAACAATAGTTGGTAAATTGGAATACTCCTTAAGTTACACAGGTGAGACAGAACGATAAAACAGAAACCTGAGGAGGCAAGATGTACGATTTCTAACCCATGAGAACACTGAATCGATAATGGACAAGCTATGAAAATATTATATGAAATTTAAGTGGTATCCACCACACAAAAAAGGACAGGACAAATGTATTGTAGAAAACGTACCTGACTGAAGTCAGATGACACACGTTTCAGTTTTACCATGAAATTTGCTAAGTTAATAGAATTTCACCCTCACTTCATATCTTCATCTTGTCTTCACCACTACCCATCATCTTTCAATAAATCCAATCTTCAAGTCACCATTGGTTTAGTCGAAGACAGAGTACATAGCACAGAATAATATTCAGAATACTCTCCCAACCCAAATGAAGGAGCAGTCTGAAATGACTCCACAAGGCTGATATCCCATCACTGTTATTCTTTATTTACACGTGAATTCTACTTGACACTGCTCCTGCTTCCTCAGAGCCAGCTCTCAGAGTAAACAGACACTCCTGTTTATATCTGTCAGCCAGGACTCTCTGATTGAGGCTGATAACGTGGTACAATCAGGGAACTCCTATTCTATGAGGTCCACCTGGCTGACCTCATTAAAATCACTACACACTTCATTCAAAGAACACATTCCATTTAGTTGTCAAGGCCCAGCACCATTAAAGCCACATGTTAACACATGAACACTCTAACGAGAATACCGTAGTAATCTGAAACTGAAATTACCATCTTATACCACGACTTAATTTTCATAGTAAATTAAATAACCTGTATTTCCACATAACAGTGTTCATGTCCTCGGGACAATCCAGAATATTACGCAATTAGGAATGAGCTTCATAAAATGTTAATTTATTGGAAATTGCGGCAGTTTGTACTGATTACACTTTGAAAAGTTCAGGTTCTGTGGATATTTGGAATGAGTCGATTTTAAATAGCTCTTGTAAGCATAATATGGTTCTTGTCTTTTATTTGTGATATAAACCCTTGTACTCTATTGTTAAAAGTATATTGGCAGCATCTTTTAAATGTGTTCCCTTACTGACTTCCACAGAAAACAAAAAAGCACAAAAAAAACTTAATGCCTATCAAGCCAGCTATCACTCGAGTTCTAACCTCTCCAATATTACCATCAGCTAGGATCATAATGATCTGTTGTCATTTATTAATGTTGCTCACTCCCTTGAGGGTTTGTTCGTTGACTCCTATAACATTTGGTTGGAAACAAAAGCCTTCCTATGCTCAGCCAACAAAAGACATTTGATATTTAGTCCTTTTATTTAAACTATAACGATTTGTATCTACTTTGGGAATTCATTTATCTGCTTCCATTATTTTCAATTCCTCCTAAACAAATCACCTTCAGTTAATAAAATAAATAGGTCAAAATCTTGAAAAATAGAGTCAAATGTTCTTATGCTGTGTCTTCCAAAGCAAAGCAGCATCAGCTAACATGCTTTATATAGTTTTATAGATCTCCTTAAGTTTCTTTATTTTAACTCGGCCACAGAAAAAAATGAATAGATCAGTTAAAACACAGCTATGTTAAACTATTTCAAACTTGGAATCTAAATTAATCGAAAATGTCACAAAAATATATTAGCCTTCATTTAGCTTATCAGGCTTCCCTGCCATCACAGCACCCTTTTTATTGGGAGATAGATTTCCTGATCTGGGGATCTGTTACTCTGGCATTCAGCATAAGCTGAAAGTGCCTGCTGTAGTGCTGGGAGATCCCAATCAAACTGGGAATGGGATTAATGCCTTTCAGACTCAAATTCCATTCATCCTGTTGCAATTGTTAATGTCTGAAGTGCAGGAGCATGGTAGAGAGATGGAGCAGCTCATGAGTACTTAACATTGTGGTTGAGAGATGTCCAGGATTATCACCTCTGGCTACAGGTGCACATGAAGCTTTAACCGCATGATATTTTGACCACACAACACCCGAATCCCCACTCTTCATCTCTATCTGAAACAATATATCTCAGCCCTCCCAGTTTTCCAATTCCCAGGCTGCACCTCTCCCACAGACCCTTCTCAAAACCTCCAGTTCTATCTTCTTCCCTCATCTGACCCAGTTTGTCCTCTTCTCAGACCCTAATGTCCCACTCATCCCCCATGAATGCTTTCAATACCTGTGGACACATGGCTCACTATTCCCCAGATCCCCAAGACCTTGATAGTGAGGGTGGAATCACTGGGTTAAATCCAGTAAATTATGCATTGGAGTCTTGTGTAATTGAAACGTGATCATTACCAAAAAGCTGCATAGAATGGAGAGATGCTTACACAGCATTAATAGTGATGAAGAAAGTGCTATATCTCCAGTTCAGAGCTGTGGAAGCATTCAAACCCAGATGCGCAGTTTCACTACACTTTGGATGCTGGGTAAAGGGATCACCATTCCGCAAAGGCCAATTTGGTTACCCAAAGTCATCTTGGACCTGTCTGCATACCCCCATTACTAATGGTCCTGTGGGTTAATGCATTGTTAGCTATCTGTGATATAATGTGCAAGTGATCGCAGTTTCAAGATGCAGCTTGGATCAATTACAAAAACACACTGCTGCTAAGTGTCTGCTTTTGGGTGTGCACAAATATTTACAGGTTTCATTCTAATTATGTAATACTGTTCTCAGCACATGGCACACTGTACCTACTGGGCTGCAAGCTGGTCAAGTGTTTGCAGCATTTTCCCAAAAAAGAAAAGGGTTCATGTGAACATAAAGAAGAATTACTCAGGACATTTCATCTTCTTATATTAAGGCCTTTCCTAAAATACCTGCTCTGCTAAGGTATGGGGAGTAACCTACAAGAAATGAGAGCAGTTTAACTATTAACTCAAAACAGGATAAGAGAGCATAAGACTAACTAAACTACAGGTGCTCATATATACCTAGGGAATAATTAGAATTACATAACAGGATTGTCAAATGATGGATAGAATAGTTATTAAAAGTTGGTTAAATTGCTTGTACATTAATCCCCAGATAAACTGGAAACCATAAACATATTTGAAGGATCCCAATATAGTAGAGACGACTGAGAAAAAAAAATGAAGGAACTGGAAATCAGGAACAAACAACAGAATGGAAAAGCTCAGCAGGTCTGGCAGCATCTGTGAAGAAAAATCAGAGTTAATATATTGGGTCCAGTGACCCTCCCTCAGGGATGACTGAGAAATTGCGAGAGAATAATCTTTGAAGATGGCAGAGTAGGAGGTATTCGGGCTCCTGGGCTTGTCTGCTCCCTCTTACATGACCGACTACATATTTTTTAAATTTTATACCCTTTCTTTAACTTATGACTCAAATTAATCTTTTCTTCTTTCTGGGCTGAGGTGGTGGAGAGAGGTTGCGGGGAGCTGCTGAGTGGCGGATCTGATCCGCTCCTCCTGGCAGCGGTGATCACGGCTTGAGCAACTCTTCCAGCATCAATGAATTGGGGGTCTGTCTTTCCCTTTGGTGTTTCGGCAGCATCTGCAACGGCGGTGGAGCCAGTGATTTTGAGTGAATGAACTCTTGGTCTCAGGAGTTAATTTGGACGGTCAGCCGGGTCTCAGAAGTTGGAACACAGACTCCTGGCTATGGCAGTGGGCTCGGGGTATCGGCGGCAACATGGTACAGGCTACATTCTGGGTCTGGTCAGAGCGGTGCGGGCTGCTTCGGTATGTTTCCTTCTTGGTGTTGTGACCTCAGGGACAGCTTTGGCGGCTGCAGATTGTAGCGTTATCCTGTAGCCGCTTAAGAAATCAAGAAGCCGTGGATGGAACAAAAAAAAATGACATTTGTCCTAATGTTAAATGATTTATTTCTTTGTATAATTTAAGTAATTAAAATGGTACTGGCTTATGGTGACTTATACACATTTTACTGTATTTTTATAAATATATGTAACAATAAATGATTATACTGTTATAGTATACTATAAGAATGAGGACTGGGAATTGTGGTCTAAAAAAAAAATTACAAGAATAGAGCCAGAAATGGGAATTTATATGCATAATGCATGAACAGGCTGGGCATTCTTTTGCTTTAAAAGTTGACTGACTAGTGAAATCTTCGAGGTCTTTTATCGAAGGTTCTGATATATAGATGCAGAGACAGTTACCAAGAAATTCAAAAGGGAACTGAGAGTGAATGAGAACACTTTGACAAGGAAGGGATTGAAGTGCATTGTAACTTGCATTTGAGGAGCTAAGTGAACATATGGGAGAAAACGGAATGGGGAGTTGAGCTAATAGAGTTAGGTGACAAAACATAGGAGGAGGGTCAAGTGGAGCATAAACAGCTGCACAGCTGGTTGAAAGAGGCTTATTTCATTGCTCCATACTGCATGTTATTTAGTATTTAACTCACTGCCACATCTCTTCCAGGCATGCCCACCTTGAAGAAGTTCTGCTCCTCTCTCCAATGGGATTTCCGTTCCAATCTTTCTTCTTGCCCACCGACATTAATTTCACTGTCACTTCTGGTGTTTGACCAGGTATTTGCTAAAACTCATTTCCACAGCCATATCACATTCCTCAGTGACTGCCTCTGCCTCAGACTCACCCCACGTGGATTCCAACTGAAGTTTCATCCCTCATGTTTTGAATCCTCCCAGGATCACAGATATCTCCGGGATGTTCAGCATGCCACAGACAGCTGCTCTCGCCACATCCTGAGATCCACACTCAGTGCCATGCAGCGCCATATGCGCACTCTCAACCTCTCTCTCCAACAGCATCGCAATGTACTGGCTCAGGGCTGCACCACTCTGCAGTTCCACTTCATCCTCCAGCTCATTCGTCATGCTAACAAGAAACTTTTTCTTTTCCTTTCAGGCATCAAGGCCCACAAGATGCAACAACTCAAAAATACCCATGGCCCTCTGGAACCTACTTCTCCTCCCCTTCCCTCTGACTCTATCCCCTCCCCCAACCCCCCCTCCCACATCCTGTCGGGTATTCAACCATCCCTCCTCACCTTCCACTCTCCAATGCTGAACACTCTGTACTCAGCAAAGGCCTCAGCTTTATCCCTCTGCATCCCCACCTTAACGAATTTCAGGCATGACGCCGAACTGTTCTTCCGCTGTCTTTGCCTCCACGTTCATTTCTTTGGACAAGAGTCCTCTCCCCATCTCACAGACCCCTTTGCCCAACTCCAACACTCTCCCTCCACCTGGACCCCTCCCTCCGGCCTTTTACCTGCACTCGATCTTTTCATTGAGAACTCTCGACGTGACATTAGTCGCCTCAATTTCACTGCCCCTCTCAGTTCTGAGGAAGGGTCACTGGACCCAAAACATTAACTCCGTTTTCTCCTTCACAGATGCTGCCAGACCTGCTGAGCTTTTCCAGCAACTTTGTTTTTGTTCTTGATTTACAGCATCTGCAGTTCTTTTGGTTTTCATGTTATAGGCTTGTTGTAATTAGGGGAAGTAAAGTTATGTACTGAAACATAAATAAAATGACAACATTGCCCATTTTTGTGGTTCTATGAATCTGTGGCAGGGCTAAATAAACGAACTTTAGCAAAATACAAACTAGAAGCTAGCGCTTTGGCACCAGTCTTCCAGATTCTAAACAACAAAAACGATAAATAGCTCCAAAATTACATCAAGGTTATTTCTGGAATGAGGCCAATGGAATCCTCCATTAATTTTATACATTTTCAGTCTAATTCTAACTGGTGCAATGTAAACCTCTTTAAAGAGTAAATAGGATTCATCATTGATATGTCAAACAATTTCAGGCATACTGTGCAAAAGTACAATTTTGCCTTGCTCCTAATTGCATGGGCCCCTACTTACTGCCATTTTGAACAGACTTCCCTCTCCACAGGTGAGAAGGCCTCTGGTAAGCTACACAATTAAGTCTTCAGAAGACAAAAACGCTGATTCAAAAACAGTTTGTGCTATTAGTTGGTTTATATAAATGACCGAATGAAATGATTTGAAAATAAGCATTTGGAAGCAGTAGAGTAACACAGAAATAAAATAAACATGTTTCTATTGTCTCTTTTACAGGGTATCCCAAAGCATTTGACAACCAAGCAAGTATTTTTAAAGTGTAATCATTGCTGTTACATATTGCATTATAGCAATTTGTGCACAGTAATCTAATAATGACCAGGCATTCTGTTTTGTGTGCTGTTGACATCCATAAAAATGCATCAAGAATCTAACCTTTTGTTTTACTTTTCCTCAAGCTGGTTATTAATGAAATGCATATTTGAAAAACCAAGCTGCTGTTGTTATAGCTTTCTAAAATCTGTACCAGTATGTCAGCTCCAGCTTACCTGGCAGAGAAAGTAAACTTGCAAGAATGCTGTCAGTGTAAGCCTGTATATCAAGTTTTTGACATATATTTCTTTATATTTTCAATATGCAGCAACAGGTACAAATATGTAACAAAAACATAAATAGCTGCATCCACAGTTGTTTTGTTTTGTTTAGGTACAAACATGTGCCTTGTATCAGTTCCTGTGCTCTGTAGGTGGGAAATCAGACTTGTACAAGGCAGCCCAGCAATGTCACTCTGAGGAAATATAGTAGGGGCTTATTAGATATTAGGTTATGGATTTAGAACTGAATGCGGCACAGCTCCTATGATCTTGTTATAGGCATTTTGTCAAGACTTATTGTTAGATTTCTACCAGCATGAATCACAAAGACTCAACAGGTCAATCATTATCGGAGTATCAGAGTGAATTCTTTACAGTTAGTTCCGCTACAACGCGTGTTTCATTAACGCAAATTGGCTGTAATGCCATTGATGAATCATGGATGCTGTTTGGATAACGCAGACTTTCTGAGATTTTCTATAGCGATTTCCCTGTGCGCGATTTTCTATAGTGTGAGGTCACATAAGAACACAAATATTGCGTTATAGAACTACCTGTATTTCATTGATCTGAAACATAACCGGGCTGTTCTCAGATATATCAAAACCACTGCATATATTGGGAAAGCATATTCAATGGGAAATGTGAAAATTAATCAGTTTTGTTTTCCTACTTACCAGACCACAGTTGATGGAAATGCCTTCTTTGGCCCGCTCTCCTGTTGCTCCAGTGCGTTTTAGCCTCTCGGAACCAGCAAGGTCCACAAAATGGAATTTGGCTGTGAGTGTTTCATACTCATTCACTGGTTGTGATTCATGTGCCACTCCATTCACCTCACCATTTACCTAAGGCGTAGACAGGAACAGTGATACAAATACTGATTCAAGGACATTTTACCGAAAAAGAATTACTTTCATTTCGATAAATTTCACTTTTCATTTACATTTATTGTTTTACATATCACAAAGCTCTTCGTCAATTCCTTTGAACCATACTTTGTGTTTGTAGGCAAATACATCAGCCCATTTGCCAACAATGACCCATAAACGCCATGTCAGGTCAGGTCTGTTAATCTGTTTTATTTGTTCAAGTATGAATGTTGGTCAGGTGATGATGACAAGATGCCTAATCTTATTTGAATAATGACATGATATGGTAGATAGGATGGTGAAGGTGGCATACAGGATGCTTGCCTTCAGTGGCTGGGTCACAGAATAGAACAGCAGGGATGTCTTGTTGCAACTTTATAAAATATAGGTTAGGCCACAGATGGGATACTGTTTACAGTTCTGGTTGTCACACTATTTGTAAGATTTGATTGCACTGGAGAGAGTGCAGAGGAGATTCACCAGGATGTTGCCTGGGATGAAAAGTCTCAGTTAAGAGGAGAGACTGGATACGTTGGGTTTGTTTTCCCTAGAGCAGAAGAAGCTGAGTGAGATTCATGGCAACTGGTCCACCGTGGCTTGCAATGATTTTTCTCACATATTCTTCCACTTTTCACCATATCAGTTATGCAGCTGGGCTCTCATGCATCAATCTAGGGGAGTTGTATAGAGAGAGAGGCTGAAATGCTTGCCACTGCTGGGACATTTTGCTTTCACACCACTGCTGCCAAATTTTAGGCCCTGCTACATATCAAATCAAATGGTGCAATCCAGGAACCACCCCTTACACTGTGGTACTTGATCTTCCAGGTTCAAAATGTGGTGAAGTGGAAAGGAAAGCTTGCTCCTTGTTTTGCAGACCGGGACCTCGATGTATTGGGGGATGGGCTGGTTGAGAGCAGGGCTGTCCTTTCTCCAGCTCCACCAAGCCAGCCTGGACACAAATTGCAGTCTAGGGCAGTGCTGTGTCCTGGATGGAAAGGAATGCCCAGCAATATAGGAAGAAGATCAAAGATCTACTGTGCTTCTCAAGGGCAAATGCCATCAGCTTCTGTCTGCTACCCCACACTCACAGGGCTAACGCTCATCCAACTCTGCCACTGCATATGCATCTCACCTAGGCTCATGGACTGCAACTCTCACTCTTGCATCCATCGTCGTGTCCACTCAACCTTTCTCATCCATCTCATCCTTTCAAACTACTAAGTCTTCCTGTTCTCTGTACCCCGAATTCACTTACTGGGGACACATTATTAATTCTTTAGTTCTTGCACCAGCACTAACCGCTCTTCATCTATTTCTACCATACTCCCAACAAAAACTTTGTTTCACTGCAGGTTCCCTGTCTCAGATCAATATCTTATACACTCCAACTGACCTGTCTGTAATCCTCAGACTGTTTGCTCAATCCCCAGACTGCAAGAACATGCCTGGATTCTGTAGGACCAAGCACCTGATTGACCATGGCCAAACCCCTCAACTGGAACAGGATGAGCCTCTTGACCGAATGTGGCAATTTGTTTTTATTCATTCACGACATGAGGGCATTGCTGGCTCGGCAGCATTTATTGCCCATCCCCAATTGCTCAGAGGACAGTTAAGAGTCAACCACATTACAGTGGGGTCTGGAGTCACATGAAGATCAAACCAGATAAGGATGGCAGTTTCCTTCCCTAAAGGACATTAGTGAACCAGATGGGTTTTTCCTGACAATCGACAATGGATTCAGAGTCATCATTAGATTCTTAATTCCAGATATTTATTGGATTCAAGTTCCACCATCTGCCATGGCAGGATTCGAACCCGGGTCCCCAGAACATTATCTGGGTCTCTGGATTAACAGTCCAGCGATAATACCACTAGGCCATTGCCTCCAGCTAAGATGTACCCCTGGTAGTATTCCTGCACTGGCTGCAGATCTCCCTTCACCCTACTAAGGATTGCTCTCTCTCCCTTGACTTTCTTTTCGAGCCATTTGCTTGAAGTGTCTGCAATGCGTTAGCTGTAAAAACTGCTGGCATATGCTGCAGGTGTTGCATTGCACAGCGGCATATACATCCACTTGATCATTCAGTGCTCCCCACTGGGACAAGCCGAGTACCTCTCCCTCCATGCTAAAAAGCAATCCGGCCCACAGAGACAGCAGCCTGTTACCGAACTCTAAAGACCTGTACACTGAGAAAATAATACAATCCACACTGAGGGTGCAACCTTCAAATAAGCAGCAAAGTGAATGAGCACTAAGAAAACAAACTAACCACGAGGAGAAATACGTGTCTATAACAGCAAAGAATCCTAGGCATATACATGAGGTTCCCAAAGTGCAAAGCAACCTACCAGAAGTGTAAAAATTATAGGTGTCCTTGAGCCCCAAAGCAAAGTGTTGAAGTGGTGCCTGAATTGGTTTGGGAGCAGGGATGGTGAGGTGGTGAAGCTGGTAGTTTGCCAATGTCAACTTGCAAAGATGAAGGGTTGAGGAGGATGCTGGACATGATGCATGCGCGGTCATTGTTCTGAGGAAGCAGTTGGACAGGCCCAAACATTTAGTGGTCCAGGTACCCACTTTGGCTAAATGCCAGGAATTTGCACCACATCGAGCTTCATGGTGAAGGGCAAGAGAATTGGAAAGTGGCGCATAAATTTGGCGAATCTTAGGCTTTAATGAGAGGCAAATGCATGGAAATAACCTCGCTGCCATGAAATGAGGGCATTCTGAAGTTGCTATTAAAAGCTTAAGGATAAAATTAGGAACACTTTTCTTCACATTGAGAGTCAGACTTTTTCATTCTCACTACATTTTCCCACCTTTCTTATCACTGCTCATGCCACACCAGGGAGGGGAAAACTTTGTCCATAACTTCTAACATAGGCTTTTAGAAACACACTTGAAAAAAGTCATCTGTGTGAGGTACCAAACCGTTACCTGTCCCAAGCAAATGTCTTCTGTGAGCCACCACCTTTAGAACAGTGACGTATTAAGAAATACAACAAAATTTAAAAAGGTTTGCTTAATTTAGTTTCTGTGAAGTGTACAATACAGATAATTTGCACACATGGTTTTGTATCAATTGAGAGTATTTAATGATCTCCAACTCACGAGAGAGAGTGTTAATTTTGATTAAAATCCTATTGGGGTTGATAGTATAGTTAACACAAAAAAACACTACAGACACTAGATCACAAACGAATTCAGTAAAACAAAGACTTGATTGTTAAAAAGGTTGGAAAACACATTACGTGTTGTTATTTTGATGTGATCCGTTGTTCCTGTTTGGAAAGAGAGAGCTCTCTGTGCATTGTTCTCCCCTTTTAACAACACCAGATGACCACCAGACCCAGGGGTCTCTGCAGTAAAATTGGTCCATCAAATTCCTTGAAAGAATTTAAGTGGAAGGATCTTTTCTATGTGCTTACTGGCTCCTTTACTTTTGATAATAGATGTTAAAAACCGGGAAAGTCTACAATAATTTCAAATCCTGAAACTTCAGAGGTTTTATACCTAACAACACTGCTATTAAAGGAGACCCTTAATATTCATTTGCTTCAGGTTTCACCAAACTATAAAATAACCCTCTATTTTAGCCCAAATTACTATTCAACATTACCATGTCTGAGGAACATACCATATCTTGTCTGGAGCAGACCCTCATTTGGCAGATGTGGATTGTAAATATAGCATGGGAACGGGAACTCTCTGCATTCATCTGTGTACTTGCAGTGCTGCGAGCAAGAGCACCCAGCTTCAAGCATTGTATCATCTGGAAACAAAAGTTAAGAGGACTAATCGGTCTTTCACCAGCTTCCTGCTGACTTGAATTAAGTTGACAAAACTAATCAATACATAATTCCCAATTGTGATTGTCAGAAACCATAAAGAGAGGAAAATACTTAGAACTGCAGCAAGCAGTTATCAAGAAATGTCACGTTCATAACAATCCAAGACCTTGCTACTGTACAGAGAAATTGAAAACTTAGAAGTTGATTATTGTAAAAGAACTGCCATGCTTAAGGTGATTGACAATTAACAGCTTAATGGTATTTCTGCAACTGGCCAAGAAGAAAAAAAATGGATATTGAGAAAAATGTCATTCATATTCTCAATACCTTTTGTGCTTTCTTTGATGTATTTAAATTGTCATTTAAAAGGTACATCCCTCAAACAGAGAGAGATTTTTAACTTCAAAATAATTATCCAAGTTGTATTATACACCAAATAAATGCAGACTTAGAATATTTTCAAATAATTCACCAGTGAGATAATTCATTCTGCTAAGGGAAAAAAATGCCAGCAAAATGGAGTCCAAGGGGAAGAATTAAATCATAGTGAATTTTATTTTCAGATTGAATTATAAATTTGGATACCGGAAACAAATGCAACATTTAAAACAAAAATTCAAAATTATTTATTGTTTAAAAAAATTAGGGTGCATTGTTGTTGGTCTTGACGAGATTTGAACAAAAATCACTCAAATTCAAATTAGAAGCTACACCTATAGCCAACTAGGTAGAAGCATTGTCAGGTGCCACTGAAGGGCTTAGTTTTGATTCACAGTCTGGACTGAGTCAGCTCATCACAAGTTAAGAATAGGTGAATTTGTCCAGCTAGATTAACTGCCTTTAAAGTCATGAGCAGGAGAAAAATCACATGGATATTTAGTATTCCATTTCTGCACAGTATCTATCCACTGTTGGAAAGCATGAAATGATAGCCATTGTAAGAACCCAAGATCGGGTTAAACGCTCACACATTGCATTGTTGAATGACCTACTGACACTCATTCATGAATGGATGCTTGAGTAAGCTACTTAAAAAGAGATGGTGGCTTCATTTGAGCCAAAACCCAGCAAAATTTAATGTCATCTAGCTGAGAGGAAAAACTGCCATTAAATTTAACACAAGACATTTTGTTAAGGTAAACACATCTACTTTTCTCCATCCAAAAAGTTATAAGTACTTTTTATTAAAAATAATAGTTGAGCACTATTTCCCATACATGAACATATAACCTGTATTGCCAAAAATCTAAACAAAATTATATTTCATAACCTAAAAAATAAAGCATTATTCCATATATGAATGATATGTCTCAAGATACATCACTTGAAAAATGTAAAATAGTACCTACTCATCCAAGCCGCACATAAAATGCAGTTAATTATGGGTTTAAAATAGCCCTGTCAAGTTCCATCATCAGCAGGTCATCATGCAAAATTGAAAGTAGCATAGGTCAAACAAGAAAAAATAATCTAGGTCATAAGGAAGGCTGAGTGATTGTAAAGTGCTTTGCTTTCAGCTCTTGATAGGGCAAGTCATCTTTCATTAATTCATGGTTGATCACAATTCATTCACTGCTGCCAACCTCCTCTACTGAAAGTCTATTATCTGTTATTTCCCATAGCATGACTGCCATTATTCATGCCCGCCCCCAGTACACACAGATCTCATCAACATTTTAAACAACAGCTGACAAAATAAAGCGCAAAAACTGGGACAAAGCACTGGACTGGCAATTTTTTTTTTAAACTATTCATGACCATGATTGATTAAAAATCTTTTAAATAATCCATCAGAAATACGATATGAATTATAATGTGCTCAGTTGTTTCTGTACTAACCTCTTGTTCTGAATTAATAACACGTGAGACAACCCCGCTAGTGTTAATTGTTCCATTGGCACCTTCATGAATTTTTATGTTGGATTTCCTCTGCCGTGAATCTAGGTCACGTGTATTATCAAATAGATCCAGTATCTCTTCATTATAAAGCTGCAAAGAGATATACGATACATTTTACACACAGGTCTGAACACAAGAGGCTTGTTCAGGATCCAAGTCTCCAACTTAAAACATTCACTCCCGCCAGTGATGTACAGTGGCAGCAGTGTGTATGATATAAAAAAAACCACTGCAGCAGTTCAGCAAGGCTCCTTGAAATGTATCTTCCAATGAAATGTACCTTCCAAATGCACAACTTTTACAACCTAGAACGACAACGGCAACAGATGCAGCGGAAAAATCACCCCCTGCAACTGCTCCTCCAAGCCACCTGCCGCTATTTATACTATATTGTCATTCTTTCACTGTTATGGGTGAAATAGCTCTACAGAGCTGGTATCCCATTACTAAGTCACCCTTTATTTACATGCATATCATACAGGACACCAGTCCAGCTTCCTCAGAGCCAGCTCTCAGGGAGAACAGAACCTCAGACACTCCTGTTTATATCTGTCAGCCAGGGCTTCTTGATTGGACCAGGATAACAGCCCAGTCAGGGAACTCCTATTCTATAACCTGTCCATCTTCTCTCCCACCTATCCGCTCCTCCCACCTCACTGACCAATCTCCACCTGCATTCACCCATCACCATCCCATCTACTTCCCCCAAGCCCCACACCTCCTCTTTCTATTTATTTCTAAGCCCTCTTTCCCCCACCCCCATTTCTGAAGAAGGGTCCCAACTCAAAACGTCAACTTTCCAGCTCCTCTGATGTTGCCTGGCCTGCTGTGTTCCTCCAGCTCCATACTGTGTTATATCTGACTCCAACATCGTCAGTTCTTACTAACTCATATTCTATGGTGTCCACTTGACTGCCCTTGTTACAGTCACTAAAATAGGATCAAAATCACAAAATTTCCTTCCCAGAGGCATGGGAGGGTATACCTACACAAGGTGGATTGCAGTGGTTGAAGGATGCAGCTCACCACTACCTTGCAATGAGCAGTTAGGGATGCTGTCCTTGTGAGTCTAAAGCCCATGAAAATAATCTTAAAAATCTTTGTTGAAGGTTCTCAATTAGGGCCCTCATATTTATTTATTGGTATTCTTGCAAACTGTCCTGATAAGTACAAGACAAAAGTCTTTGACAAAATGTCTGTTTTCACCAATATTCAACCGTTATTTATTTATAGTATTTTAAAATTCAGCACATATTGGTCACCCATTTCATTTGGCTGCACAATTTGAGCTGTTTGGGCGTTAATCAGGTGGGTAACACCAAAACACAGTCTCACTGACCAATTGCTATCAGTAGAGAACAATAAATCCAGTTTCAACATCTGTACAAAAAGTGAACAAGATGGTCAATTACACTGGGTCAGAAGTTTCTCCTTAAAATCGTGGTATTTGTCTAGAAAACTCTTGGGAGCAGCATTCACATGGTGGAACATAGTGGAAATGAGGTTATTCTAATACTCAGCCACATTCCCTCGTTAATATCTTCGCAGTAAAGACCCAGTATTATTGTTCCCTACATCAATTCCCATCCACACATGTTATTTCTTGTCTAGATTATTCAAAGAATCCATTCCAAACCCAGAAAAAATTCAGCAACATTATTTCATTTGGTTTTGAGAAATGAACAAAGTATAGGACTAGTTGATTTTGACTTCAGTCAACTTGCACTCTTCAAATAATTTTTGTTTCTGTAAATATCAAAAACTGCCCGTAATGACCCCTTCTTCCATGATCAGAGCTATGGCATGTGCACAATATGGAACACACGTGATCATGTGTGATCACAAGCACGTGAATATAATACAGCTCAAATGCCTAGGAACTGGGTTAATCTGCACTTAACCATGGATAATATTTAATCCCAGAATTATGAAACAGCATGAATTCAAACTGAAACATTTGTTTTTAATAGAAATCATTACCTTCATTAAACTTGAGTTTTACAAATTAGACAATATTGATATTTGGGAATACATCAAGGCCTCTGAAATGGTTTTGTGCAATGCAATGAAGCTGCTGACAAACCTCCAGAAACTGAGCTGTCACTTTGAACTCTGGTGGCTGTTTCTCTTGCTCTTGAGCAGCTTGCTTTCTCCCTGCAATTCCTTCAAAAAGATGCCTGACTGCACGTGGAATTATTCCTTGTTCTTCCATTGTTATATTCACATCAAACCCTGTACCCATGCTGTAGGTCTTCCCAGAGCCAGTCTAGAAGCAGAAGAAAATGTAACACAAGATAGAAATTTCACGAAACAACTCAACGTGGAATACTGATAAAAATACAGAAATTGCTTGAGAAACTCAGCAGGTCTGGCAGCATCAGTGGAGAGAAAGCAAAGTTAAATTTTCTGGTTCAGGGATCCTTCTTCAGAACTATCAGTAGCTAGCCAGGACTCAATATCAAGTTCAATAATTTTAGAACCTGAGCACCTTCTTCTATGTCCTTTACCCACCTTCATACCCCTGGCTTTGTCATTACATAGGCTGCTTTCAACACAGTTAACCTAGTCTCACCTACTTATAGTACCCATTAGCAAATTTTCTTTCTTCAAGGCTTACCATTATCCATCCCTTTGCCTGCCTTTCTCTCTCTCTGAGCTCCGTCTCCACTTATTTGCTTACTCCCACCCATCCCTTGTGTTCAACATATAAACCAATCTTTTCTTAGCTATGAATCGTTCTGAAGACGGGTCACTGGACCAGAAACATTAATTATATTTTCTCTCCACAAATGCTGTCAGATCTGCTGAGCTTCTCCAGTAATTTTAGCTTTTGATTCAGATTTCCAGCATTTGCAGTTCTTTGTTTTCTTATAGAATAATGATATTTGGCAAACAGGGGCATAAACTTTAACAAGATTTTTAAAACAGGATTTTAAACAGACATGAGGCTGAATCTATTCGTTCATATTCACAAAAACAAGACACTTCAAAATAAATTATATAGGACACACACCTGAACAGAATGAAACAGTATATGCAGAGCACAACAACACTCAGTATTAAGGTTAACTGTACTTTATTCTCATTTACACATGACTGCTTATATTTTCATTTTACAGGTTCATAATTGTAAACACGATCTTTTGAAAAATATTACCAGATTTCACAATCACTGTATATGTTTTCTTGACAAAGCATCAAAAGCTTATAAAAATTTAACTCCAAAGCATCTTATTTTTATTGTAAAATAATACAGATGAAATGAAATGTTTAAAGGCTGCTAACTTTGATTTTTATTTTGTCTTGTGTATCTGCAGTCAGCTTAAGTCTTAGCAAGGATATTAAGTTTATTCATGATAAATCAACAGTGATTGGTTAAGGATTAAGATAACGTGATGCTGTTCATTCTCTGTGCACCATTATCCCAACTGAGTATTTATGAGGTCATAGGAACCCTCGACTAAATTACAACCTAATAATACATTGTCTGGTATTAATATGAAATCTTGTGAAATGTAGTACACATAAGTCACCAGCTCACTTTCACTGATATGCTATCACTTTTCAGGAATGTCAGAATTTAGTTCTTACCTGCCCATAAGCAAACACTGTTGCATTATAACCTTCAAAACAACCTTCCACAAGTTTGTGCACACAAGATTTATAGATCTCGTCTTGTTTGGCATCTATATCAAACATAAAGTCGAATGTGAAAGCCTTGTCTTTTCCCAGGATGACTTGTGGCTCCCCAGGTGTAACCAATGTACAAATATGGCATCCTTCGATTTTCTCTTTGGCTGATTGCGGACGTATTCTGTGGAAGGAAAACATAAAACAATTCTGGCATCTTTCCAAACGCATAAATCACTGGCTAAAAGTTTTCATTTGGAATGGCAAATATCAAACAATAAAACAAAATAAACCAGTTTTTAAAATAGTGAAATACTTCAAAGTAAACACATGACATGGACAGAGAATATTCAAATTGTTTTCCCCTCATAAAAGTTCTTACCTTCCAAAGCTGACTTTACTTAAATAATGCATGTCTGAGAGAGATTGTGTTATACTGAGCAGTGTTAAAGTCTCACTACAACACAGCATTTACAAAATTCACTGGGCAAATTTCCCAGTTTTAACTATGCATTTAAGAGCCTCAAATGATGCATTATGGAGAGGATTCAACATTCTAATAGGTCAACCCTTCAGGCCAGGTAAAATGCTTTACAATAGATGACTTATAAGAAATCAACCACTTCCCATACCTGGAAACAACAGATTCATGGAATTTGATAACACAGGACTAAAAGTGAAAAAAACCTCTGTATCTCAGTTAGTGATGAAACTGATGTATAAACAGTCATTATATTACAGAAGATACCACAACAAAGCAACAGCATGTTAAATTGCTCTGGCATTTTGTTTTCCGTACACAGAATTAGAAGTTATCAAATAAAAGCACATGTTGAAAGTGCTCAAGAAACACACAGCTGGTCTGTCAGCAGCTATGGAGAAGGAGATAGAAACAAACTTAATGTTTGAGTCTGATATGACTCTTCTTCAAATCAGAAATGATCGATACTGCAGCTGGGTAATGAAAGCTGACCTAGCCAACAATGCCCACGTTCACAAATGAATAAAAACAAAAATGAAAAAAAATTTTTTGGAAGCCACTATTAATCACACAAAGCTTTTCAATCCATGAGACATACAAAGAGGAGCATTTGAGAAATTAAGAGAAACGTAATCAGGATAATCGTTGACCGTGTTAATATTTAGAAGGCTGATGGCTGTGGCTATTTGGCTCATCCTTAAATAGCACAGATCCGTGTGGGTGGATGTGCAGGCCTGCTTGCCTGTAAAATGCCCTTCTGACAGTTTGAATGCTCCTATGAAAATCTGCTGCCAAAGTTACTATATAGATCCCATGTGTCTTTGATAATAAACTGTTGTCATTATGAAAGCAGTTCATGTTTATCAGTGTTTTGAATAAAAATTGATTTTTGTGACTCAGGGTCAGTTGCTGAAAGTACAGTCTTTTTCTCATATTCAGGAAGACTGTGTGCGTTCAGTACTACAAATTGTCCACTTTTGTGGACAAAGCAAACAGCCAAAAATTCTCTTGATTATCCCAGACAAATGATTTTATCAGTTATCTCAGTAATTACTTCGAGTTGAGTAGGAATCTTTCTTCTCCCTTCTGCAAAGCTGTACTAGAACATAAGAACATAAGAGCTAGGAGCAGGAGTAGGCTGTCCGGCCCTTCGAGCCTGCTCCGCCATTCAATAAGATCATGGCTGATCTTTTCGTGGACTCAGATCCACTTACCCGCGTTCTCACCGTATCCCTTAATTCCTTTATTGTTCAAAAAAAATCTACCTTATCTTTAAAAACGTTTACTGAAGTAGCGTCAACTATTCCACTGGGCAAGGAATTCCATAGATTAATAACCCTCTGGGTGAAGAAGTTCCTTCTCAATTCAGTCCTAAATCTGCTCCCTCTAATCTTGAGGCTATGCCCTCTTTCCCTAGCTTCACCTGCCAGTGGAAACATCCTCTCTACTTCTATCTTATCTATTCCCTTCATAATTTTATATGTTTCTATAAGATCCCCTCTCAATCTTCTGAATTCCAATGAATATAATCCCAATCTACTCAGTCTCTCCTCATAAGCCAACCCCCTCAACTCCGGAATCAACCTAGCCAACCTCCTTTGCACCCCCTCCAGTGCCAGTACGTCCTTTCTCAAGTACTAGTCCATATTGCTTTAACTAAAAACTGAAGTGTCTCAGTTTACCAAACAGCTTCCTTCTATTCACAGTGGTGTACCCTATTTTCATTGTTCCTTCACCGACAGCTTGAACCGATCAATCTGTTCTCTTATGGAGATCCTTCAAAAGCACATTAAGGAGTACCTTGGTCTTCTGACTTGTGTGTTCTCACCATCTTAACCATGGAAAACCAGCTTTCCCTGTTCCAACATTCTGACTCCAACCAAGGTCACATCTATGCATTAGACGGAAAATGCCATGGTGGACAGTGAAACCAGAAAAAGTTTTTTTTTTTAAAATAGATCAATGTTGAGGAGCTTCCTATTATTTCACTTGTACAAACATATTCCAGAAAAAAATCAGAATCATATGAGATATGATTGAGTTTGGGGGTAAAATCAATGTTTAATTTTGCTGGCAGAGGATCACACAAAAAATACTTCTTATTTGTTGTCACCATATAGAATATTGTGGTTCTTTATTATGAAGCAACAGATTAGACCAGTCAAGTCAAAGTTGATGGCAACAACTCCATCCAGGACAGAGAGCTTTAAAACTTTTTTTTTTCTGAATTCCAGATTTGGGTGCCAATTCTTAAAAGAACAATTTCTTCCTAAATGAGTGAGAGAATAGGTAGAGACAAATCCCAGAGGAAGAGAAAGACAGTTAGACTAAGAAAAGAAAGGATAATAGTTTGCCAGCAATTGAGAAAAACATGTAATTGGGACCATAAATAGGTGAAAATGGGTTGGCTGTGCTCCCAAGCATGCAAGATATCTGCCTTTTTCAAATAACGCTCTTTGCCCCCTTCGGTCATCCAGGCAGCCCTCCACCACGTGTCCTCCATTCCCCGCTCCACAGCTCTTAACCACCGTCCCCTCTCCAAACACAATAAAGATAGGGTACCCCATGTCCTCACTTTCCACCCCACCAGCCTCCGCATCCAACATATCATCCCCCACAAACACTTCCACTCACTCCAATTAGACCCCACCACCCAGAACATCTTCCACTCCCCACCCATCTCTGCTTTCCGCAAGGACCATTCCCTTTGCCACTCTTTAGTTTGTGGCACACTGCCCACCAACCATGCCGACCTGCCCGGTACCTTCCCCTGTAACTGTAAAAAATGAAACACATGCCGACACACCACCTCCCTCACTTCCATTCAGGGCCCTAAACAGCCCTTCCAAGTGAGACGGAGCTTCACTTGCATCTCCTCCAACCTAGTGTATTGCATCCGGTGCTCCCGGTGTGGTCTTCTCCACATCAGTGAGACCAAATATAGACTAAGTGACCTTCTCGCCGAGCATCTCCACCTGGCTCATGATGGCCAACCTAGCCTCCTGGTAACCGCCTATTTCAACTCCCTTCCCCACTCACCCTCCGACACATCCGTCCTCTGCCTCCTCCAGTGTCACAGCAACTCGCAACATAAATTTGAAGAACACTCACCTTATCTTCTGCGTGGGCACCTGGAGAACTCAACATGGAGTTCTCCAAATTCAAATAACCTTGTCACCCATCCCACTCCTGCCTTTCCAGCCCCAACTTCTCCCTTCCATTCCACTTTCTGACCCTCCCTTCCAGTCAGCAACTGGATTCATCCCTCCCATTGACCAACCAGGTCGTACCTACCACCAGTGTCCATCTTTCACCACCGTTCCACCTCCACCCCTTCCCTCCCTCTTTATCTGCAGCTCCCCCTACCCCTACATCCAGTCTTGAAGAAGGGTAATACCAGAAACATTGACTGCTCCTTTCCTCCAGATGTTGCCTGGCCTACCGTGTTCTTCCAGTCTCCTGTTTGTCTACCATTTTCCCACTGTTATTCAGTTCTCCACTATTACATTTTTATAAAAACCTTTCAAAGTGGCAAATTCATTTGAAAAAAAATTGTGAATTGTCATTTAACTTCATTGTATTTTTAAATCCCTTATGTTTTCTCTAATGATATTTGAAAGAAAAAACTATTTTGACTTCTGTGAACATATCATTTTCTCCCAGTTTCTTAAACACACAATTTTTTTTTAAAAATCAAGATTTTAAGGAAGCAAAATAAAACTGGCATCTTTGTGCTATGTTACAGTCTCACAAGGTTCTTTCGATGCTGCTATGTCACTACTTGGAAGGTTTGACTCATTTCCCATCTTCTTCACTGCTCCCCACCCCACACACTCTGTGATACAAGCATCCTAATCACTAGAGACTTCACCTATCTCTTCAGCTAGTACCAAAAACCAATGCCTGCTCATTTCCCTGTCATTTTATAACAATATTTATGGAGGAAATGTGTCTGTTAAATGACAACATAAAATGAACACAACCGATTAAATATAATGCTCTCTGAATGAATGGAATATCAGTTTGACTAACCATTGTAAATCAACATCATATCTTCTGAGAGGTGGATACTATATCATACCTGTCAATGCACCAGAGTCCAGTGCTGAATCCTCTTGTGACCAACTACGTAGCTACCATTCAATTCTTCCACAAAGTACTCTAATTTTTCAACTGCGACAGCAGTGAAACTATCTCAATGTCCATTAGTGCATCTGGTAATCTCAAAATCATACACAAAGTTTCTTTGCGAAAATTTTCATTACTGATGTTATGCAATGATTATAATATCTTCATTTGAGATCATTCACCACTTCCCACCCAGAGTCCGGTGTGAAAACATACATACTTGCATTTATCTGCTGTTTTCACAATGAGCTGACATCCAAAAGGATTTTACAGTACATGAAGTTCTTTTGAAGGGTTATCAAAGTAAAGTTGGAAATGCCCCACAAACAGCAAGTGACATTGGCCAGATAGTGTGTTCTTGATGGTGATTGAGGGGTAAGTGTTGGCCAGGACAATGAGAGGGCACCCGTGCTCTCTTCAGAATAATTCCATAAGATCTGTTACATTCACCTGATAAGGTTCATGGGCCAATGTGCAAAATACAGTTTGGGGTGGGGGCGGAACAGGAGGTGAATCCATGCCCTAAATTCTGGGAAAATTTACCCATGGGGTCATCCAGAGAAAAATTGCCTCCA